CCACTAGAAAAAAACCCAAACAGAATAAAACCCTTGGTTAGGTCTTGTCACTGGAGATCTGATTTTGAACCACCTTCAGTGCTGTTGGTTCTTCCATATTGTCATTTCCTTTATTTTCCATAGGTAGGTCGTCACTCGGTAACAGACAACATACAACAGTCCTGTAGGCAGCAGCCACAAAGGGAACCAGAGTTTCTTTTTCAGAGAAGCCAGGTTACATTTTGTGCTCTGACATGATGAGCCAAGGGAAACATGCATTTCAGCCAGCTGGCGCCCATTCAGCGATGACACCAGCAAAGGGTTGCTCTGTTATTCCCCTCGTTGGGATTGCAAATTTTCCCTTTGCTCTTTCATTTAACAAGACAAGAAGCAACAGGCCTCTAGAGTGCTGTGCCTTGGTGTGATCAAGTAATAGTTTTTCAGCATCGCTGCTCAGATCCATTGGACTCCAGTAGAGACAAGAACGGACAAAGATTCTGTGAGAAGCCCTAAATTTTCCAAGGAAAAAGACTGTGTGTTCATTTAATAACAGTTAACCTTTCACTCCGATCCTTCTGGCACAATGAACTGCGCTTGTTCAGCACTGCCTCACCACAAACTTTTAATGTGAGCCAAAGTCTAATTCTTCAGTGCCTTCCCTGGGCACGGAGGGTTCATAGAGTTCTGAGGCCAAACTCGTAAACCTTGAAGCTTGAACAGTGACATGGATACATTAAAACGAACAAACAAATCCAAAAATAACTTATTGTTCCAAAAATATAATAAATAAATACTGTAATGGTGACCAATCGCATCCATTCTGACATACAATTAAAAATAGAATAATAACAATAATAATAATAATTAATAAATAATTTAAGAGGTTTACTCCAATACCAGTCTGATTGGGAAACCTAGAGAGCTTTAGCTGCCATGGGACCATATGAGAAGAGGCAGTCCTTGTAGCATGGATCAGCAGTCCTCTCATGAAGGATGCTGAAGGCTCAGTGTCATCCAAGGAGCTACCTCTTTTGCTCTCGATCCAAGTGCGCTACTCTTGTGACATGGACCGAGGCCGGCATGTGGTGCTTTGTTCGTAGGTCCCCATCAGTAAGGAAGTCAAGTCAACGTAATGGTTTGTATTTACACTAGTTTTACAAGCCCCTTTTCAGTACCCCCTTTTAACTACCTGGCCTTACACTGTATCACTACCAGCGTGGTTGGGCACTCAAAGCGGTCAGGGTCTGCTCTCTCAGCAAGGAGGTGATTGAGACCTCAGTCCAATAACTGCAACACCATCTTGCTGGGAAAACAAAAGTACAGTGTGTTTGAGCATCAGCCTGGGAGAGGCCGCGTGAGTGAGGATGGGTCTTCGGTTGCTTAGGATGTAGATTTTGCTGTAAGACACTGAAGGAAAAGGAGCTATTTCTTATATCTAGCTAAAAGCAAAGGAGTTAAATGATTCCTCCCACCCCCCTTTCCCCAGGTGAAAGCTCTTCCCTACATGCCATACAGCACACAGTGTTGGGGGGAGATGATATTGAGCCACTTGTGGAAGTCTGCAGGCCCAGCACTGTTCAGCATCCCAGTTTTCTATTTCTACAGGGAATGGAAAGTGGGAACTGCCTGGACCCTTTGCTATAGCTAACAGGAGCAATCACATCCCTCTGTGGGAGGAGAAGAGCACCTGTGAGCAGGGAAACACACGGAGTTGAGCTACCACTTGACAGGCACCTTGCGTCTGGGGAAACTGAAATGCTAGTAAAACCACCTTAGCTACAAGACAGGCGAGCAGAAGAGGGAACCCTCAGCCGTTCTGGAACAGATGGCATCTCTTCTGTGAAAGAGCTTTTAGCAAGATGGTTGCATGTCTCCTATTGAACCACTGAAAATAACAGCTGCCAATAGACCTGAAGGGCACTGAGCTGTGGTATATATATTTCACTGCACACATGCATACACATTCCATTCATCTCTCCCCCCAGGTCACAGCTCTGCCATTCCCTCCATGTCCCTGGAGTTCAGGGTTGCAGGTGGCTCTTTAACCAAAGGATTTGCATCTCTTTACATGCCAAAGCTGCCGCTGCCTCCTCCTCCTCCGCGGTGGCAGATATAATTTCCACTTGCCCCCTTGGAACACTTAAGACCCTGTATCCTTGAGTCATTAAGACTGAAGCGGATAACAACTATGCAGGGTGTGTGGGAGGGGAACATGTCTTATTCCCAAATGAGGGGCTCTAAGCACCCAGCTGTTGCAAGAAAAAAATAAACTCCTTGCTGCCATCTCAGTCTGCAGCTGGGAGAGGCCTTTGTCAGCCTGCAAAACACAGTAATTGCATAGCCGGCTGTGCTGGCACCCACTGCAAAGGGAAAACAAAGGCAGGCCTGGCACACAAAGACCAGAAGGACGACCCCTGCCCTCCCACAGAACTGCTTGTGACTCCTCGGGAAATGAGTGACAGACAGAAACACCCCCTTTCTGATGCTTCCCCATACTCCATGACCAGTATTGATCTGGTGAAGAGCTCCACTGCTCCATGTAACAACTATGTCAAGGGGAGCAGGTACTAGGAGATGGATCAGGGGGAAGGGAGTTGGATGGAGCTGAGGTGCTTCTCATAACCATCCGGAGGGCAGGAAAAGGTTAAATGAGGTGGTGTTTTGATGCACTGTGAGCCAGCAAGCCAAGGCATCATGTGGTCACCCTGTGCCTGGACCCAAAACCTCATTCCTCAGAGCTGAGTCTAATGCACTGAATGGAAAATGTCCCATTGCCTTGAATAGTGGGGGAGAGACAGAGAGGTGCCCATCCTTCCTGCAAAGGGAGGCTGCCATTCTGGGGGAGGAACCAGCAGCACTGCCTAAAACAGAAGGGAAATGTGCGAGTAGGAAGGCAGGGCGGGAAGCCCGCACCACCTGAATTGAGCCTCTGAGCCTGGCGCTGTATGGCTCCCAGCATCTAAGGCGCAGAGGACTAACAAGTGTCTCCATGGCAGGAAGCTGGTGCTAAGAGGCAGGAATCCAAGGACAGGCATCCCTGATTCTTAGCTGCCTCCTGGAAGTGCAGATGAGTTGTTTTTGTTCTCATTTGTTCTACCTTTTTTTGACTCTGCTTTACAGAGGGGCATCGCCCTCAGCTGGCTAAGTCAAAGCACCATGTAGGCCCATCACACAGGGCCTGGACTTGGATACAGGCCAGCCAGAGTGTTTCCCATCCTGCTGTCCCTTGCTACTTCCAATATGAAACATCTCTGGGGAAGGGGACTGTTACTCACATGGGCTGTGACTGTAGATCAGACTGCCCTGAAATCATCCAATCCCACCTGGCTTGTCTAAAACAGAATCACAGAACATTAGGGTTGGAAAGGACCTCAGGAGGTCACATCTAGTCAAACCCCCTGCTCAAAGCATGACCATCCCCAACTGGATCATCCCAGTCAAAGCTCTGTCTAGCCAGGTTTTGAAAACCTCCAAGGATGGAGCTTTCACCACCTCTCTGGGTAACCTGTTCCAGTGTTTTACTATCCTAGGGAGAAAATTCTTTCTAATATCTAACCTAAACTTCCCTTGCTGCAACTTGAGATCATTGCTCCTTGTTCTGTCACCTGCCACCACTGAAAATAGTCTAGCTCCATCCTCTTTTGAACCTCCTTTCAGGTAGTTGAAGGCTGCTATTAAGTCCCCTCTCAGTCTCCTCTTCTCTAGACGAAATAGCCCAGTTCCCTCAGTTTTTCCTCATAAGTCACATCCTCTAGCCCCCCATCATTTTTGTCACCCTCCACTCTCTCCAATTTGTCCACATCCTTTCTGTAGTGTGGGACCCAAACTTCCTTTTAATCTACTTAAAACAACAGGATTCTTCCTAAAGGTGGAAATGTAAGACTGGAATTGACAGCTCATAGGCAAAGTGCTGAGAAATGACTCTTAAATGTAGCAATGAGAATTGGCTCCCTCCTCCATCCTGATGGTGTGCCTAGGTTTCCAGACCCGGATCCTTGATTGTTCCCACTTGCATGAAAAATCTCCCCAGCACCACCAAAACTGAGTCAGGCTTCTGGGAGGAATAAACTCATGACACAGCAATCAGTGCATGGCTGGAGAAGGGGAATTGGCCTCTTCTCTCAAGCAATTCATGTCAGAATGGGTTTCTTGCTTTATATTTATAGGTTATATTTCTAGCAGGAACTGGCTGACCCTTAGTGAATAACTATTTTCTCCCTAAGACTAAAGACAGAAGTTGCACATAAACCAGTTTAAGTGATTAGAAACTGGTTTAAACCTGTAACAGAACGGAAGTTCAGTGTGTGTAAACTGCTTTCAAAATGGCCAAAACAGGTTTATGATAAACCTGGTTGGATGTAGTATCAGAATTAACTGGTTTAGATTAAACACGTTTGTGGAACTTCTGTCCTAGATCTGAAGAGGCAAAGAGGGAAAGCAACGAAATGAGAAGATGTGATTCTCTCTGGAGGCCTCTGCCTTTCCTCTGTATAGAGGGCTGCTATACTTCAAGGGCCCATGCTGGCACCCTAAAGTCAAGGGGAGCTAGGCCATTGACTTCACTGGGGGTGGGATCAGGCCCAGCACATAACACGCCTTTGTGAGGCTCTCTTCAATCTTCACTCTTCTTTTTCCCTGACACAAAGAGAATGTTGCTTGCCCTCTGCCCACCAGGAAAAAACAAGGAGCTGAACTTGCCCTATGCATCAGCAGCAGGGAAATGCTTGCATGGAGACAGGCCCAAAATGGATGGGGCTGGTTTATTGTTGATGGACCCTCCCTAAAATGCTGACCTGTCCTGTATCCCCATCTCTGGGGAGTGGTGATATATCCATGTACACTACATGGCAGCAAGGACACCTTCTGCCTCTCTGTTTCTGCAGCACCTAGCACCAAGGAGGCCTAAGCACTGCCATAATATTACACAATAATAATAACCTATGGTTGGGAGGCAGAAGGGGAGTGGATAACACCAGGGATTTAAAGAGATGACACTGGAGCATGTGGCAGTGAGGGCCTCCCTAGCGCCGCATGCTGTCATAGCTGCCTATTGAGCCATAGCTCTTGCTTCTGCTGTGGCTGCTTCTTGGGCATGAACTCCGGCTTCGGCTCCTGCCGCTGTCACTACTGCTGCTCCAGCTCCGGCTCCGGCTTCGGCTCCGGCTCCGACTGCTCCTGTAGCTGGAGTAACTCCGACTGCGACTGGGAGAGCGGCTAAAGCTGCTGTACCATGAGGAATAGCTGCTGACACTGCTGGAGGAGGAAGGACTGGGCCTGTAGTATGGGATGGGGCGTTTCCGGGCGCTGCGGGCACAAAGGGAGAAGAGCAGCCTCTGTTACAGGTGACAGTGGTGGAAAGCATGGAGTGGGGGCGGCGGCAGGGGGAGAGGTTTCCTACCCTGAAAACATTTCTGAGCTTTCAAACCTGTTTCCATCCTCCATGGGACAGAACCAAAAAGTTCTGAAGTGCTTTGCAAAGCACAAGAGAGAAACCAGGGATTTGAACTTCTGCCTCCCAGCTCAAGGGAATGCCTTCACCCCAGGCCGTTCTGGGATGGGTCTCTCTCAGTCTCTACTGTTAGAGTTGTTTCACCTTGTATTACGTATTCTTTGGGGAAGAGAGGCTCAGAGCCTGGCCATAGCCCAGTGGTTTGGGAACTCACCTGGCTTGAGGGAGACCTGGGTTTGCATCTCTGCATTTGATTATTTATACAAAGTGGATCATCTCCAGGTGAGAGAGAGACATTGATCCATCCCAGGATAGCCTTCTGGCCAAACCATTCATCTGATCTTAGGGTTCTGTGTCCAGATCATACATCTGACCAGCTCTCCCATGTCATAAGTGATCACCTGAAGCAGCGAGCTATTGGCTCTTCTGGGGTCTCCTTCAGTCTTGCTTCTGCCCCTCTGAATCTCCTTTCCCAGCCAATCGGATTGGTTCTCAAAAAAGGATTCAGTTTTAAAAAGTTAGAGTTCTCTGAGGAAAAACTATCGTTAGAGCAGGGAACTGAACCATCAAGGCAGTGGAATGGCTGGAGGAACAGCTCTGTGTCATGGGGACTCTACCTCTGCTGGACTGTAGTGCGGTGCATGGAGGGAGGCCTGTCCTTGTAAGATGGGTTTAAAGCAGATCCCTACCACAGCTACCCACAGGCTTGACCAAGCAAGTCAGAGGTGAGCCCAGGGTTGCTGCACATGCCTGTCTCCTAGACAGACCAAGAGGAGTCTTGCTCGCCTCTTACCTTGTGATCCGCCGAGCTTCAAGGTGGCTGGGAGAGTCTCTCCTGCGTTTCCTCAGGGGTGAGTAGGACTGTCGCCGCTGCCGCCGTCGGTCACGCTCTCTGTGGGACTCCTTCTCACTGGAGCCATACTTGTGCTCTCTCTCGCGATCCCTAAGGAACAACCAGTTTTGGAGCTGTCACTGCCTGGTTTTGCGCACATGGGGTTTAGATTGCATGCACCAGGCAGAGATGTATAGCAACTCAGCAGTGGGGCTTGAAACAGGGCCCAAAGCAAAGCAGGATCCACCCCTGTGGTAAAAGGACAATTCTATTACTCGCCTTCAAACAGGCTAGCCGTGTACAGACACTGACTGAGCTAGCCTGCTACGCAGCTGCTCACAAATTGACTAGGGAGTGGGTTTTCAACACTTTTTCCATGTGGACGATCTCAGTTTCCAGGTGACCGTCTCTGCAGCAACAAACCATAGACTGTTGTAGACTGTACAAAGAGAGGCCTTAGCCACTGCACCTGCCAAACCCTGCACTACATTGCAACACAGAGGAACAGCGCCCACATGGCTGGAGGGGCAGATTTAACCTGTCTGCCTGTAGAAATGTGAGGTCTGCAAAGTTGTAACAGGTGTGGGCTATTTCTGTGTGGCACATCTGTTCTGCAGGCCTCAGATATCCAGAATGAGTGCTGGATCCCTCACTGGGGATTGCTGGCTTTTTGTTTCAGAGGGTCTCTCTATACTTCAACACAGGCCCTTCCTCTGTACCGCCCTGATGGTGTCCGTTGGGAATGGAGTCAATCTGGTTTCGCATAGCGCCCTTCACACTCAAAGCACTTTGCGAAATGATGAGTTCATTCCAATGAGGCCCCTTCACACTAACCGAGTGGCATAAAGGGGCCTATGCTGCCAACAAGTATGGGACCTGGAGAATACAATGACTTTTTAAGTATGCAAGAATGTTTATGAGGTACTCAGTGACAGCTGGGGATATTGGAAGGTCCTGGCTAGGGTTGAATGCATTTAATAGGCTAGACTGTGCTTTGGAGAGGGGAGTTTGCTTGCTAGGTTTATTATGTGCTTAGGTAAGTTTTGAAAGCAAACACCCTTGGTGAATTTGGAAGGTGTATTAGGACGGTGCAGTTAAAAGCTCTCATACATTTAAACAGAGCAATGCTGCCTTGGTTTTGGTCAGATTTTAATATAGTTTTATTCTATCTCAGCTTCTTTGCTACAATTTTCTCAGTCTCAGAAATAACAGACTTTCATGTGAAAGAAGTGTGTTTGTGAGGGGGTTTGCTAAGCAGGGGACAGGCTTGGGTCCCTAGCCCAGCCCCTGGGCTGTGGACTCTGTGCTGCGTCTAGGGCAGAGATGGGCAAAATGCGTCTTGGAGGCTGGATGTGGCTTGCTAGGCCATTCTATCTGGCCCGCAGGGCCCCTAAAAAATGTAGAAAATTAATATTTATCTGCCCTGGGCTGCCTGTCATGCGGCCCTCGATGGCTTGCCAAAACTCAATAAGCAGCCTTCTGCCCAAAATAATTGCTCGCCCCTAGTCTAGGGAGACAGAAGGGTCTCTAGCCCTGAGGACTCCAAGTTATCACATGCCCTATACTGAGAAGACTTTAAGCAGCTAACTACCTGATTTGAAACATCTGGATAACTAAGGAGGGGAAACTGGGGCAACAACCCCGGGTGGCAGTGTAGAAGGGTGCAAAAATAGCAGACACTGCCACTCTTCTCCCGGCTGCCAGAGGCAGCCCCACTATGACTACTGCCCTGTGCACTGTCACAGCCTTGAGGGAAGAACTGCCCAATTAGTGTATATTTGAATTAGCTCTGGGACGTTTATGCTTGATGCCTGCTAAGCCTTGTTTTTTGAGTACTGAACCTTGAAATGGTGAGAAGAGGGTGGGATCCTTGCTGCAGATGCAGCTGCTATTTTGTGCTCAGATGAGATGCACACAGTGCTCTCTCTCAGGCAGAGCTGACTCCTGTTCTTTTTTGCCTTATCTTTTACTAAATCTAAAACCCAAAGATTATCCTGCCTGAAACTGATGGAAAACTCCTTTGGGTGTGAGCTCTGCATATAATGAAGGAAAGGAATTTCTTCCCCTAACACTCCTGCATCATGCAAGAACAACCCAGGATGACAAAGACTGTACAGTGATTGTGAACCTGGGATCTGCTGGAACCCTGCACCAGCCTTCCACCACTCCCACTGCTCTACAAGTGTGCCGTGCTTTGGTTACCTGCCTTCCACCATAGCTTGTGCACAACTTATGTACTGCATCAGCTTCCTTTCTGTAGCCATACAGTGACCCCCCCAACACTGAATCTGGGCCATCATCTTTATTTCCCATGCAGGCGATCCCAGACTGCCTCCTGCTCTTCTGTTCCTGGAACACAATTCCAGCTAACCTATGCCAAGTGGCTGTGTGCCTCTCTGCTAGGTTATTCTGGCCAGGAAAGCTGCCACCACATATTGGCAAAAAAAGATCTTTTTTTTCCAGCTGAAAGCAATGCTTAACACGTCACATTCCCAATGAGAGTCCTTGTTTTTTCCTGTGTTTGAGCCAGTCTAACCCCACGTGGGTTAATAAAGGGACTAAGGGCATAAGTGGGGGCTTTGTGGTACTTGGTGAGGAGAACAAAGATTTCTGCACTGGGTCAGAGCAGACACCCTTCTCTACTGCTGCTCATTTGTTATATAAATAGACCACTTCACCAGGCCAGACTGTGCCCTCCCCAGAGAGGAACATTTCAAGAACTCCAGCGGTCCCAACAGCTGGTATCTTTTGCTCCACATAGTGGGAAATTTCTCTTTTCTCACTTCAGGAAAACCTCTCTCTGACAATGGCTCAAGCTCTCCACAGGATTTAGCTTGCAGGTTGTTACAATCACTTTGCCTAGGCTAAGTCAAAGATTTTCATGGCACAGAGACTAAATCCATCCAAGTCTAACACTGGTGCCATCCAGGCCTGTAGTCAACCCTCCATTCAGCCCCTCTCTGATTCCACTGCTCCTGTCAGGGCTGACCTGACAGGCACTGTAGAGAGCACTTTTCCTTTTTCTTTCTGGTTTCCACTGCTCACCTGTGGTATGGCTCTAAAACTACCAATTACCATGTGACATAGATGGAGTAGATTAGCAGGCTGCCTCTTAAAGTGTCCAGAGGAAAGACAGCACACCCATCAGGCTGCACTAGCTACCCATATTCAAGACACATTTCAAGGGACTAGACCTTCAAACCCTCTTTCTCCATCATGCTCCACAACAGCTGCTTAATGGGGTTTAAATCTTATGAACTGAGGCAGGTCAGGCCAGGTTAGCAAGTGCAGGTTGCAGAAAACCCATGCTGCAGGAGGCAGCTTTGTCTGGCTGCCTTCCAGGCGGATTGCCTAGCTCTGCTCTCTGCTCCGGTCTCTCCTGTCAGTGATCAGTGTCGGGTGGCATCAGCGGAAGCAACTGGCTGCGCTTGGGGTGCTCTGTCACAAACAGGGAGGGAGACAGAGAGCAGGCCTCATGTACATACCTCCCTCACTCCAAGTTTGCATTCAGTGCTCGGCTACTAGGCTGAGGGACGTGTTGTAAATGGATGCACGTGTGCTGTAATTACAGCTGTGAACTGAAGCAGTGTAAAAGCCCGAGATGCTCATAGAATGCAGTATTATACCCCAGGAGCCAGCAGTACCTGCTAGGGCTGTAGCGGGAGTAACTGGGGCTTCGACGTGGCCTTGAGTTCCTGCTTCCGGGACTTCTTCTGCAGGACTTGGATGAGTAGCTTGGGGAACGTGAATAGGACCTGAAAGTAGGCATAAACCAGAGAAGGGTTATCAAACTCCAAGTGAGGGTGTGCAAGGCTCCTTTTCAGAATCAGAGCTGAAAAGGAAATACGGTCCCAAATGAAAATGAGCTTCATGAGCTCAGCCCAGACCTGAGGAAGGCTGGGCATCCTGAAAGTAATCAAGCCATGCATTTCTCCTCAAACATGGGGCTCTGCTCGTGCCTTTCCATCTAGTCAGAAGCAAGTGTGTTGGCATTCCCAGCACTATCTGTGTGCCCTTGCAGCATAAGCCAAGCTGTATTCTAAGGTTCTGTGGTCCATGCCCGGGCCTGGCCACCACTGTAACACCTGAGAATTGCCAGCAATAACAGAGACAGCCATTTGACTTGACCTCACCTTTTCCCTGAGGAGCAGGATCTGCTTCGGGAGTACCTGGGTGTGGCCTTGTGATGCAGCGAGTGGGACCGGGTGGAGCGGCTGGACCCTTGGGAGGACCTTCCCGTGCTGGTGTAGGACCCACTGCGAGAGCACAGTCTCAGAGGGGAGCTGTGGGCTGGGGAAGGGAGGGGCCTCTGCTTCTTTTCTTCTGAGCAGCCGAGACAGGGGGACAGGCATCCTCTGAAAAGAGATGTCCCCACTCATTGAAGGCGTTACAAAGCAGTGATCACTGCTATGCAGTCCTAAGGCACTGACTTCAGCTAACTGGGCCCAAGTCATTCCAGTCTCCTCCCTGGTTTCAGCGTCTGTCAAAATGAAGGGTCAGGTTTCAAAGGAGCTACCCCACCGCTGGCAATGGTACAGGAAAGCTGTGTTTAACCCTAAAGAGTAAATTATGCATTCAGTTAAATGGGTTTGAGTCCCACCAAGGTCAAGGGGAGTTTTACCCATGTACCTGAGGGCAGGATTTTGCCTTGAAGATGAGAAGTCAGGTCCCGTCTCTCTTGTTCTCAATTATTCTGGGTTTATGCTGGTAAAACACCCTTGACTTTAATTATGCTAATCCTCATTTACAGAGGAGAAAGCACACATCTAAGGTGTCGCTGCACTTATCCCAGCCACAAAACCAGTGCTTCACAGGAAATAGCACATGGTGCTATATATGCAGCCATGCACATTTGCAGCTGGGAAGCACTCGACCAAACTGACCCTGCACTGACCCACCTGATGCTTTTTAATGCAAACATGACAGTCACTGGCGCTGGCAAGAGAGGTGCATTGCCCTTCTCCGGCCCAGCCAGTGCAACCATAAGACACCACAACACTAAGCTTCATCAACAATGGTTCAGTTCTGTGCTCATGGAAACATACATGTCGACCCAGGGGGAAGAGTCTTCAGCCCCTACGTGTAGTTGGGCAAGTGTATGCAAATGGGCAGTAGATGCTGTGGGTTGGCATCCACTTTCCCTTGGCAATTTGGCCATGTGAGGCTGATCTGAGCATGATCCCACTGCTCTCATCTGTGTTCCAGTGCAGAGAGCCATCACTGGGCTACTGCATACAGAATAATACACAAAGCTTTCCCTGCACTGCTTTGCTCTTACCCAGAGGAAATGCAGCAATTCTTTGTGTAGTAAGTGTGCAGGAGCCGTGCAGGAACACTCAGGATTCAGCCTAGTGAATCAGTCTGGAGGAGCAAGCTGATTGTAAAGCTTTAATTTAAATGCCAATGGTTCTGGTTCCTGACAATGAATTTAATGAGACAGAGGAGTGTTGAATCCACCCATCCATCCATCCTTTGAAAGTTTACCCAAATGTGCCAGTGACCTTCCCAGCACTTTTGCTACAAGGTCACAACAAGCCAAATGTAGATGATTTCAGGTGACATCTAGATACAGACTGACAAAAATCACAGGGTTTGGGTCTAGGCCTTTGATTCCTGCCTGTATTTGGATCCAGGCGGAATCTGTTCTGAGGGGTCTTGCTGCATGGGGAAGGCCATGGACAAAGAGAAGAATTAACGGGCTATGATAAGAATGGTCAAATCTCGTGCTCCAAAGGATAAGCTGTTACCATGGGGCTGAGAGAGGAATTCTGCACAGACCCTGTGCCATTGCTCAGGTAAGCTGCGAATTGTCATGCACCTTCCTCAGAAACCTAAGGAAATGCTTGTGTTGGAACACCGCACCTGCTGGACCACTGGTCTGACTTGCAGAATGGGGGTAAGTTCCCATTGCAACAGATAAATGAGCAGGAAACACTAAGCCATTCCAGGAATGGAGGTTGCAATGGTTGGTGATCACTGACCTTTGATCCTGTCCCTGGGCATCTGGAGAGAGATTTTCCAAAGCTGTTCCCTTGACCTGGGAAAAGCAACTGGTGAAGGAATTTCCTGAATCAGAGCTGTTATCACTGTTGGCCAGTTTAGGCTTCCCAGAGGAGAAGGAGTGGCCAAAGCCATCGTGCGCTACATTTCTTTTCTCCTGGATGTCCTTTGACCTGGATGAGCTTGTTTGAGTGGAGGGAGGAGAAGAAGTATCGTTTCCTGAGTCATATTCATGGGACCCTCCATTCTGACTGGCTAGGTTGTCAAGCGGGCTGTCTGTTTTGGTAAAGAGGTCAGCAGAAGACCCTGACTGAGAGATCTGAAAGCAAAAAAGCCATTTGGCATTGTTTGAACTTTTTTCAATGGTGGTTTTATTCTGTCTGACTTTTTTTTTTTTAAATAAACCAAGAAATTTTACCGTCATGATGCACTGTAACAAAAAGAAAGAAAGAAACAAAGCAAGAAAAGAAGAAAGAGGAGAAGAAAACAAAAGCACATATCCCTGAAAGAAAACCACAGTAAGAAGAAACTTCTTTGCCCCCTGATATGATAACTGGAAGATTTAGACATCATGCAAAGAGTATTAGCATGCGAGTCATGTTGAACAAAAGATTTAAAAAAATATCGGGAAACAAAGGAGTAAATAAAAAATAAGGAAGATAAAACAGAGAAAATAACCCTTATTTAATCTAAAAGAGGGGAAAAAAAAGAAACAGGACTATACATACAAAAAAACTACATACTCCTTGGAAATAAAACAAAAATGGAACAAAAACCTAAATGATTCTTTCTTTTTTTAGTTTCCTTAATAAGGAGACTGAACAAATGTTACCAAAAAAGAAAAAGAAAAAAAGAGGTTTATGTACAAAGTAAAAACTGGCAAACAAACAAGTTTAGCACTTTGAAACTAAAAAAAAAAAGGAAAAAAAGAAAAAAAATAAGAAAAAGAAAAATCCCTCTGGAAATAAAAGATATACAGATATTTCTTTGTGTGCTTTTTTTCCCCCTGTAGAAGGTACAGCTAATGCTCTTGAGTGACCTCTAATAAATTCCCTAGTGTCTTGCGGATAGTATCCACTTACCAATCAAGAATTCCTCCTTTAGTAGGTAAGGTGTAAGAAAAAGGGAAG